CACCCACTTATCCATCTATCCATCCATCCACCCACTTATCCATCCAGAATCCATCCATCCACTCATCTATTCATCTGCTCTTCTATAGACTCACTCATTAATTTATCCATCCACTCATCTACCCTTTCATTCACTCAACTACCCATCATCCCACCCAACCATACACCTACTCATCCACCCAAAAAACATTTACAGAACCCCCACTACATGCAGGCAAAGTCTCTACTTTGGTGGATGTTGCACACTAGTGGCGGGAGACAGTCAGCAAATAATTAGGCTAATGAGCAAGGTAATATCAGATAATGATAAAAAAAATAAAGAAGGGAAATGAGATGGAGACCAACCAACTGAGGGTCACGAGCCTGCTTGGATTAAGATGCCCTAATGGGTGATGCTCGAGCTGAGCCCTAAAGTAAGGAACCAGCAGCTGACAGAGGAGGAGGGAGAGCATTCCAGGCAGAGGGAACAGCAGGTGAAAAGGCTCTGAGGTGGGAAGGAGTTTGGGGCACCAGAGAAAAGAAAGAAATCCCATGAGACCAGCAGATAGTGAGTAGGAGGTAAGGTCAGAGAGACAGACTAGAAGGTGAGAATTTCTTCTGAGAGCAAGAGAAAGCCATGAGCAGACCAGCAACAGCAAGATAGGGTCAGGATGATGTTTCCAGAAGTTCACTCTGGCTGCAGCCAGGTGAAGAACTTCAGATTTGTGGCAGCTGGACCTTAGCAGGTGTCTTAATCTCTTTGTGCCTTTCTTTCCTTATCTGTCAGGTGGGAGTTATGATGGGGGTAGAGACACATGCCTGTCCTATAGTATGTGTTCAATAAATCACTCCAAAGCCAGAAAGTGCCACAGCTTTAAAGCTCCCACTGGCCTTTGGAGGGTTCTGCAGAGGAAGGGGGTCTTGAGGCTAGGTGGGGCCTATAGGAGACCTGGTGCTCCAGGTGGTAGGAACCGAGAGAGCACAGGTTAAGGTCTGCACCGTGGTTCCATCTGCCCTGTTGAGAACCTCACCTGGTCTTTTCTTCTTTCCTTTCCCTCCGGGGCCTCTCTCTGTCCCCATCCCCCCTACCTGTGCTACAGGTGAGGGCCACCATGCACCTGACCTACCTACGGGCTGTGGGTGCCCCACTGTGCCTCTATGCACTGTTCCTCTTCCTCTGCCAGCAAGTGGCCTCCTTCTGCCGTGGCTACTGGCTGAGCCTGTGGGCCGACGACCCCACTGTGGACGGGCGACAGACCCAGGCGGCTCTGCGTGGCTGGATCTTCGGGCTCCTGGGCTGCCTCCAAGGTACCCCTCGCCCACCTTCCTCACCCTCCACCCTCCCGGCCCCATCTGAGGTGCTCAGGGCTCCCTGGCCTGCCCATCCCTGTCCTTTCTGGACATCTGTGCAAACATCCTGGGCCCAAGCGCAGACCTGCATCCTTTAGATAAGGCTGGAAGGAGTCGGGGGGCAGGACACATCCCTCCTTTCCTGGGATCTTCAGAGTCTGTGCCAGACTCCTCAGCAAGTGCAGAACCTTGGCCCCCAGATGTTGGGGTAGCTGAGGACTTGGGTGGGGACAGACCAACTGCAGTGGTTTGGATGGGCCAGAGACAGTTTGCCCCACCTCAGAAACGGAGTGAAGTCAGCCCCATTCCAGGCACATAGATGGGCATTGAGAGAAAGGGGGTATATTAGTTTCCTAGGGCTGACAGAAATTACCACAAACTTGGTAGCTTAGAACAACAGACACTTCATCTCTCAGCGTCCTGAAGCCAGCAGCCCAAAGACAAGCTGTCGGCAGGAGTGGTTCCTCCTGGAGGCTTTGAGGGAGCGACAGTCCCATGCCTGTCTCCTAGCTTCTGTTGGGGGTCTCCAATCCTTGGCTTGCATATGCCCCCATTCTGTGCCTCTGCCTTCATATCACCTTCGTCTCTGTCTCCGGATGTCTTCTCTTCTTGTAAGGACGGGAGCTATTGGATTTAGAAGGCATCCTAAATCCAGGGTGTTACCACCTTAGGATCTTTCACTGAAAACGGCCACAAAGAACGTGTTTCCAAATAAGGTCACATTCCGAGATTCCTGATGGACACGAGTTTGCAGGGTGGGGAGGCACACTGTTCAACCCACTGCAGGGTGGTTCCATCAGGGGATACTCAGGATGGCCAAAGCATAAGATGGCCATCATGGGGTAGTTGGGGGAGGGCGGTCTCGGCTCTCACGCTCTGACACCCGCTCTCTCCCCAGCCATTGGGCTGTTTGCCTCCATGGCCATGGTGCTCCTGGCAGGAATCCGGGCATCCAGACTGCTTTTCCAGAGGCTTCTGTGGGATGTGGCACAGTGTCCCATCGGCTTCTTTGAGCGGACGCCCATCGGGAACTTGCTGAATCGCTTCTCTAAGGAAACAGACACAGTAGATGTGGACATCCCAGACAAACTCCGGTTCTTGCTGATTTATGCCTTTGGACTGCTGCAAGTCAGCCTGGTGGTGACGGTGACCACCCCTCTGGCTATTGTCGCCTTCCTGCCGTTGCTGGTCCTCTATGCTGGGTTTCAGGTACGGAGAGACTGGGGAGGCCCCTGGGGCCAGCTCGGGTCACCTCAGCCAGTCTCTTGTCTCTGGACAGGATTCAGCGTAAGAGGCTCTGCACAGTGGAAGAACCCCTAGAAGAATTCCCAGAGGCAGAGACACCACAGTTTACTTCTAACACCTACACTCACCACTGTCTCCCGAATGTCCGTGTCTAAGTTCTTAATATCTTACATTTTGTCCTGCTGCTGCTGAAATCAGCTTCCCGTTGTCCAATTATCTAGAAACCAAGGAGGCATTGCAAGGTCTCCAAGTGTTGTATTAGGCTTGACTCTTTCAGTTGCCAGAGCTGGAGACCAACTGAAATTAGCTTAAACAAAACGACAGAAATTAACGTCTTACGTCCCTAAAGTGCAAGGAGCCGGTTATCACCAGGATGCGGTCACTCTCTCCATATCTTTGCTCAGGGGGTCTCAAAGTGCCATCTCAGACCAGCAGCGTCAGGACCACCTGGGAGCTAGTGAGAAATGCATGTTCTCAGGCCCCACCCAAGAACTACTGACTCTCAAGTCACGGTAGAAATGGAGCCCAGAAATGTGGGTTTCAGCAAACCCTCCAGATAATTCTGATGCATACTAATGTTTAAAAACCACTGGCTTTAGCTCTGCGTGGCCTGATTTTGGACGCACTGTCTTTCTAGGGTCTGATGGGTCTGATGGCCCCTGGCAACCCTATACTCACAGCATCCCACCTCAGCAAGTCCAACCCAAAATAACTTTTACTCCAGCTCCGCATTCATAGGTCAGTCCCAGGGAAGATTTGACTGGCCTGTTTGGGGGCCCGTGTTCATCCCTGAGTGAATCACAGTGACCAGAGGGTTAGCACACTCTGACTGGCTAGGCTGCGTGAGGCTACGTCCTCCGTGATCGGGTCCCACGTTTGAACTCTACCCTCCACCTCCACCCCAGGTAATCAGAAATAGAAGAGAAAAAAACACGGTAGTCAGACAAAAGCCACAGCCACCACTGTCTTCTCGATGTCTTCTTGACCTGGGGAGGGACAGCTTAAGGGTCGGACGGAGGTGGATTTGAATCCAGGCCCTGCCACTTGCTTGCTGGAGAGGCCTGGACCAGCCACTTGATCCCTCTGGGCCTCAGGTTTTCTCACCTGTAAACTGTGAAGGACACCAGTGCCTACCTCACATTAATAAATACTGTTTGTAAAGAGGCTGGCACACAGCCTGGCTGGCTGTTCAGCAGATGCATATCCTTCTGGCTGGCACACAGCTTGTGGCGTCAGAGCAAATAACCCCACGGATCATTTGGGCATTGTTATGTTCCCAGCACCGGGCAGGTAACCTCCAGTTAAGTGAGCGGATTCCACTTGGCCGACTGCCTTCCTTGTCCTTTATTGTTTTGTTCCCACAATGACTGGCCCTAAGTGAAGCAGTTGGCTTTAGGGCTGGGAATGAGACATTCACACTAGATGAGTGGTTTCTCAGTCCTGGCTGTACGTTAGAATCGCCCAGAAGGTTTTTGAAAACTACCAAGGCCAAGGTGGTACCACCAGAGATTCTGATTTAATAGTTCTGGGATGGGGCACTGGAGGGTTTTGCAGCTTCCTGGGTTCTTCTTTTTTAATTTTTTTCATGTTTTTTTATTTTTATTTTTGAAGGAGAGAGAGGCAGTATGAACAGGGGAGGGGCAGAGAGAGAGATAGGGAGACACAGAATCAGAAGCAGGCTCCAGGCTCTGAGCTGTCAGCACAGAGCCTGATGCGGGGCTTGAACTCGTGAACCACTAGATCATGACCTGAGCCGAAACCGGGTGCTTAACTGACGGAGCCACCCAGGTGGCCCTCTGGGTTCTTCTTAAAAAGAACCATGTAACTCTGATTCTGCAGGGAAAATAGAGCCCAGAGAGGGGAATCAACTAGCCCAAGGTCCCACAGCAAGCTGGTAACAGAGCCTGGTCTGAAACCCTGTACTTGAGGCTCCCTGTGCGTCTCAAACTACCTCTCTGTGTCTGTGACTTCTCCCCTCCCCACCTGTCCCACTTCAGAGCCTGTACGTGGCCAGCTTATGCCAGCTCAGACGCCTCGAGTCAGCCAGGCACTCGTTCGTGTGTTCCCATGTGGCCGACACGTTCCAGGGCATCACAGTGGTCAGAGCCTTCCAGGCCCAGTGCCCCTTCGTGGCTCAGAATGACATGCACGTGGACGAAAGCCAGAGAGTCAGTTTCCCGCGGCTGGTGGCTGACAGGTAGGGAAAGCACGGGGGCAGGCAAGACCCTGCAAGACATCTGTGTTCCCAGAGAGTGAGACGTAGGGTCACGCTATGTGGCCAGAGAGATCAAGCGGCCTGCCCAAAGTCACACAGCAAGTCAGAGATAAAGCTGAAGCTATACCCCGTGGGTGCACTTGGCTCATACCGTGAGCAGATGGAGTCTGGCCTGAGGAGTCCTCAGCAGCAGGTGGACAGGAAGTACAGATGTCAGCAGAAGGGAAGAAGCCTCTGTTGCCAGGCCGCTGGACCAGCCTCTGTTGCCTTGGTGATAGAGCAGCTACGTAAGCATCCTCAGCCTCTTTTCATTACTAAGTAAGAATACTCAGGCTCTGAGCACAGACAGGGGCTCAAATCCCAGCTCTGCGACTTACCAGCTGGGTGATCTTGGGCAGGTTTCATACCTCTCTGAGCCTCGTTTGTCAAGGGGGATGTCACTTATGGGGTGGCTATGAGGATTAAATAAATACACTCAGAGCTAATGCTTGTAACATGCTTACTATATGCTCAGCACGGTACTGAGCGCTCTACATGGATTTGTTCTTTTAGTCCTAAAAACAACTCATGAGGCCGAGACTGTTTTATGGATGATGAATCTTAGGCACAGAGAGATTTAGGAACTTGCCCGGGGCCGCACAGTGAATGTGGTAGAGTAAGGATCCGAATCCAGGTAATCTGGTGCCACAGTGTGGAGAGGGCCAAGCACACAGTAGGTGCTCAATAAATGTGAATTCCTTTCTCCTTTATGCCCCAGGTCCCTGGCCAGCTGAGGCTATCCGGCCATGTGGCTGTGGGCAGCATCTCAATCCCATAAGCCTTCTGGGCAACCTGCCCTGCCTCTTCCTGGGGTCCTAGTCCAAGGAGGAAAGACCTAATGAACATTTAGAAAGCACCGGCGATGTGAAGGCCCGGTGATTTCTATGGTCTGTATGGCAGATCTCATTTAATCCTCTCATCTGTAAGGAGCCAGATTTTACTTCATTCCACAGATGGGTAAACTGGGCTTTCAAGAACAAAGGGACTCTCCCAAGATCAGCTGTCTAGGAAGCAACTTATGTATTCATTTGCTGGTTGGTTTGTTGAAAACCACCATAACCTAGTGGAAAAGGTTCATGCTTCCTGGTATGCATCAGGGTGATGTGGCTTCTAAGACTTTCATGTGTGTGGACTCTGGCAAGTACCTAACTCTTCTGAGCCCCAGCGTCCTCATCTGTCAAATGGGGACAACAATACCCCGCTTTGTGGGGTTGTTAGAAGGACTAGATTCTCCATGTAGTGAAGCCCAGAGATCCCTGAAGACAGATTCTTAAATTGGATCACTGTGTCCCCAGCACCTGCAGCAGACATGACACACAGTAGGTGGTCAATATGTTTGTTGAATGAATGAAGGAATGAATGAATGTTGGAGTAGGAATGCAAGAGAAGGAGGTGCCTATTTATCCACTCAGTTTATTATTCATTGAGCACCTACTACGTGCTGGGTCCTGTGCTAAGTACTGGGGACAGTCATGAACGAGACAGAGTTGCCGCCCTCACGTTGCTCACAATCTACTGATGGAGACTGATGGTCAAGGACTGATTAAATTGTTTAATTATTAAGAGTGGTAAGTGTTATGAAGGGAGTTATGAGCGATGTGTTAGAGAGAAAGGGAGGAACAGGCCAGGAAGGCTTTTGGAGGAGGTGACGTTCAACCCAACCTGTGCATGAAGATGATATTGGCCGTATGAAGATAGAGGTCAGGTCCAGGCAGGGGGACCCCAAGGGATACAGCCGGGCATAGCCCAGGGACGGAAAATCGGCACCATGGCGAAACTTTACTTGAGCACCTACTGTGTGCCAGGCTCTGAGCTGGGCACAGGTAAGACAAAAGCATCAACTTCCCCCACCCACTGAGCTTGGGTGGGGCCTGGGGTGTGGAGGAGACCAATGCTGGGACCCCTGTGGGACTCAGCTTGGTACGATGACCAGTCCTTGTGCCCAGAGAAACAAGTCCTGCAGACAGGGCCCTCCCCCCGCCCTGCTCTTACCTGCCTCTCCTTGCAGGTGGCTGGCTACCAACCTGGAGCTCCTGGGGAATGTGCTGGTGTTGGCAGCCGCCATGTGTGCTGTGCTGAGCAAGGCCCACCTTAGCGCCGGCCTTGTGGGCTTCTCTGTTTCCGCTGCCCTCCAGGTACACCTGCCTCCCAACACAGACCCCTGCCAGTCGGACCTTCAAGGACCCAAGTCCAAACCACCAACCAGTGAGGAAAATATAGAGGCTTAGCTGGGGTGACCTTCCTAGACCTTGGGCAAGAGTCTTCCCTCGCAGAGCCTCAGTGTGCTCATCCGGAAAATGGGGCAGTAATCTCTTCACTTCAGACATTGTAGAGCCTTGTTGAGATAAGGTATATAGAGTCCATTTCCAGGGTAGTGCTAAATTTTGTTAACTATTAATAATAATATGTCATGTCAGGTCATGATATCTATGAAGGAAAAAATATATATGCAAGTAGCATTCTTCTACTGAATTGTTCTAACAGCTTTGTAAATATTAACCCATTTAATTCTGCCCACAACCCCATCGGGGATACTATTATTATCCTCATTTTACATTGAGGCAAAATGATGGGAAATCAGGGAAGAGACACTCTCAGAATGGAAGTCAGTGGGCCTGAGCCCTGCTGGGTGTCCTTGCGAGAGCCATACACCCTCTCTGGTCCTCTCGTCCCACCTGTATCAAGATGGGTTGGACAAGCTCCTTTCTACTCTGCATACTCCAGTTCTACCGAAGGAAGGTCCTGGTGATGACAGTCAAAGCCCATCCCCTTACCTGTCCCCACTTCTGCCTCCTGCCCCTGCCTCAGGGGGGCTGATGCAAGCCTGTGATGTCTTCCCCCCCCCCGCCAGGTGACCCAGACACTGCAGTGGGCTGTCCGCAGCTGGACAGACCTGGAGAGCAGCATCGTGTCGGTAGAGCGGATGAAGGACTATGTCCAGACGCCCAAGGAGGTGATGGGTGGAAGATGGGGACGGGGGTGTGGACCCAGGTCTATGCCTGCTATGGGCTTTAGAGCCAATGCCACTGAGGGCTGGGGTTGCAGCCAGGGCGACAGTAATGGTTAAGAGCGTGGGGTCTGGAGCCAGGAGAAATCCTTGGTCCTTTGCTTCTTCACTTGGGCAAAGCAGGTCATTCTTCTGAGTGACAGGGGACCATAGGTAACAGCAGTGCAGTAGCAGTAGAACAGCAACATGACGGCCACATCACAGACACATCACAGCAACGTTCTAGGCACATCACAGCAAGATGACAATAACGGAAGAGTGACATGGCAAGGTAACAGTGCGGGTGTACTGGGGGGTCAGGTGAGATCCCACGAGAAAGCACTTAGTGTCAGGCACACCGTAGACAGGCCCTACACGCCCACGGCTCTGATGGGCCCCCTTTCACCTCGAGGGGATCGAGGACCTATTCAAGGTCACAGGAAGAGCACACAGCAGCTAACGACCCCCTCGTGCACAATCTTGCCCTCCTCACAAAGACAAAGGGGAGAATATTATTCTACCCCTTCTAGAGGAAGACAGAATCTTATTTGACAATTAATAGTGGCTAATAATAATAATATAGATAGAGTAGCCAATACCATCATTATTTTTATAATCTCAGAGGTCACCTGTTTATAGCTCTGCTATGTTCCAATGCCCCCAATGACTCTGTAAGATAGCAGTAAATATGCCCATTTTACAGAAGAGGAAACTGAAGCTCAAAGAGAGAGCGGCTCCTCTGACCCTGTGCCCCTCTCCCATCCCAGGCACCCTGGAGGCTACCCACATGTGCAGACCGGTCCCCCTGGCCTCACGGGGGGCAGATTGAGTTCCGGGACTTTGGGCTGAGATACAGACCTGAGCTCCCACTGGCCGTTCGGGGTGTGTCCTTCAAGATCGAAGCCGGAGAGAAGGTGAGCGGCTCTGGCCCGTCTTCCTCCTCCTGGAAGCCAGGCCTAGGGTGGGCAGTGCCCAGGGTCTAGGCCCTGAGCACCAAATGCTTCCTCCACACCCGACTTCAGGCCCTCCACTCTGAAGACCCACCATGCCCTAACTGAAAGGATCATCTCCCCCAGGCCTGCCGCCATCTTGGCGAATGCCACCACCCACCCACCTTGGTGTCCTGGGTAAGGAGGCGTCTCTCCAACCTCCTTCTTTCTCTTTGCCTCCGACGTGAGTGCTGTGGCAGAGTGCTGGATGTTCCGCATACGCGATCCAGTCTGCATGGGCTCAGTTCCTGGCTTTGCCATGGCTGACCCTGGGCAGGTCACTTCATGTCTTGACCTCAGTTTTTCCATCTGTAAAATGGAAATAACAATGTCAATCTCACAGAGCTCTTATAGCAAGAGCTGCAGAAGCGTTTGCCCGGGGTTTTAGCAATTATCAGGTGCACTTTGACAACGACCCTACGAAGAAGTGCTAGTATTGTCCCATTTTACAGATGCTTAGGAAACATTTCCCACTTGCATTTCCTTCCTGCCTCCTCCTAGACTGCTCCAGGCCCCCAGTTGAGCCCCCAGCCTCCCATTTAGTCACCTCCAGTCTGTTTTCCGTGATCTTTATTTGGGCATGACATTCCCCTGCTTGAGACCTTCCCCCTGCTCCCAGCTTCCCTTACAGTAAAGCCCAAACTCTTGAGCTTGGCATTCAAGACTCTGCCCAGCTCTTCATTCATTGCCCTGCCAGGGCTCAGCCAACACTTGGGGAGTACTGCCTCACGGGGCCAGGTGGGCACCTGGTGCTGCCCTCAGGGGGTTTACCTGGCATCTTCCCCTACCCCAAACTCCTGCTTATCCTTCAAGGTTCCACTCAAGTATCACCTCCACCATGAAGCCTGCTCTGATTACCCTGTTGACTTCTATCCCAGGCGGCTTCACGTCCAGAGTCTGATTATAGAGGGGGCTTTTTCATCAAGTGTATTCAAATTAAGTTTGCTCAGTTGCATTATTTCCAAGACCAGACAGTGAGCCCTGTAGAGCAAGGATTCCTTAATTTCTCTATTCCTCATGCCTAGAAGAGTTGCCTGTCATACAGTGGGTAACACAATTCATTTACTGTTTTTTTTTTAATGTTTATTTTTGAGAGAGAGAGAGAGATTGAACGTGGAAGAAGGGCAGAGAGAGAGGGGGCTACAGGGTCTAAAGCAGTCTCTGCGCTGGCAGCAGCAAGCCCGGAGTGGGGCTTGAACTCACGAACCGTGAGATCACGACCTGAGCCAAAGTTGGACACTTAACTGACTGAGACACCCAGATGGCCCATATTTCATTCACTTCTTAAACATATAGTGTTGAGCCTTCAGCGAGTGTTGGACATTAAGAATGCAGCAGTTGGGGCGCCTGGGTGGCGCAGTCGGTTAAGCGTCCGACTTCAGCCAGGTCACGATCTCGCGGTCCGGGAGTTCGAGCCCCGCGTCGGGCTCTGGGCTGATGGCTCAGAGCCTGGAGCCTGTTTCCGATTCTGTGTCTCCCTCTCTCTCTGCCCCTCCCCCGTTCATGCTCTGTCTCTCTCTGTCCCAAAAATAAATAAACGTTAAAAAAAAAAAAAAAAAAAGAATGCAGCAGTAAATGCTGAGGACGGATGGGGGCAGGAACAATGATGGGCAGATTGATGGAAGGATGGAAAAACGGGAGGGTGGGGGTATAGCAGGAAGTGTGGGTGAGTGGGCAGAAAGATGGGAGAGGTGAGTCACAAAGGGGAGAAGATAGAGAACTATGTACAGAAAGAAGGCTGGATGGAATGGGTGGACATATGGAAAGGTGGACAGATGGACAAATGCTCAAAGGATAATGGATAGATGGATGTATCTTGGATGCAGGAGAAATACCTCGCAGAGATGCCCAGGGACCCTCCGGGCTTCTGGGCAGACGTGGTCAGAACGAGCCTTGCCCTCCCATCCCCTGGCAGGTGGGCATCGTTGGCAGGACAGGGGCCGGGAAGTCCTCCCTGGCCGGGGGCCTCCTGCGGCTCCTGGAGGCGGCCGAGGGTGGGATTTGGATCGACGGGGTCCCCATCACCCACGTAGGGCTGCACACGCTGCGGTCCAGGATCACCATCATCCCCCAGGTGAGGCCCGGGGCACAGGGTGGGCAGAGGTGGGAGGCGTGGCTGGGCCCGGCTCTGACCCACTGCCCCTTCCGGCCAGGACCCCACCCTGTTCCCTGGCTCGCTTCGGATGAATCTGGACATGCTGCAGGAGCACCCGGACCAAGCCATCTGGGAGGCCTTGGACACGGTGCAGCTCAGAGCCCTGGTGGCCAGCCTGCCTGGCCAGCTGCAGTATGAGTGTGCTGACCAAGGTTGCAACCTGAGGTAGGCTTGCCCCGCCACGACCAGGGCCTGGGAGGAGCTGCGTGGAGAGGCGAGTGTGGCTGAGGCTCCCCGCACTGCCCTGTCCCCAGGGTAACATGCCCTGGAAGTCTGCCTCCCCCACGGGACTACCAGCTTCATTCTGTTAGTACTCACAGGATGAATCCCGTCCCTTATCAGCAATTCTGAACTCCAACACAGTCTCTGACTATCCACTTTTGTCTTCCTCAATTCGGTTCCTCAGTTTATTTGGGTGACAAAACCCAACCCTTACTGACACAAGGCTACTTATAGTCTATTTATCCCTCTCAGCATTTCTTTTGCTACGAAAGTATCGTGTTTGATGTGGGCACGAATTCCACTCTCACTGTGGGTTCTAAGTAACATATGGTATACGTTTCTTTCTGAAGAAATTTTAGGGGCGCCTGGGTGGCTCAGTTGGTTGAGCGTCTGACTCTTGGTTTCAGCTCAAGTCATGATCCCAGGGTCATGGGACTGAGGCCTGTACCACGCCTCCGTGTTGAGTGTGGATCCTGCTTAAGATTCTCTCTTTCGCCCCCTCCTCCTCCGCCCTTGCCTCCTCCTCTGCAGGCCTCAGCATTCTCTAGAAAAAAAAGAAATTTTAGTTGTGGTAAAATACACCTAACATAAAATTTAGCATCAAAAAAATTTTTTTAATGTTTATTTATTTTTGAGAGAGACAGGCGCTGAGTGGAGGGGCAATAGGAGAGAGACACAGACTCAACAACGCAGCCAGGCTCTCAGGCTCTGAGCTGTCAAACAGAGCCCACCCAGGCTCCCGAGCTCGCTAAGAACTGCAGATATGACCTGAGCCAAAGTCGGATGCTTAACCGGACTTGACTGCACCCAGGTGCCCCAACCATTTTGCTTTTTTTTTTTTCTTTTACTAGGACATATCTCATCTATTGCCATACATACTGGAAAAATACGTCTATTTTTTTTTTTTATTTTGCTATCCAAGTTGCAGTTATAGCCTGCGCAACAATGATTGCTAGATTCTTAATGCTTACCCCAGCCCTTTATCCAACCCCCCCACCTCCAGTAACTCTGTTTGTTGCTCCATTTTTAAGAGTCTCTATGTTTTTTGTCCCTTCCTTACAGTTTTATCTTTATTTTCTTCCTTCCCTTATTAACATCTGTTGTTTATCATTTAAATTCTCAGTGAAGTCACATGATATTTGTCTTTCTCTGACTAATTTCGCTTAGCATAATACCCTCTGGTTCCATTGACGTAGTTATAAATGGCCAACCATTTTTTAACGTACAATTCGTAGTGTTAAATACATTCACATAATTATGCGACCCATTTCCAGAACTTTTCCATCTTGCAAAACTGAAACTCTGGACCCATGAAAAAACAATTCTAGGAGCAACTGGGTGGCTCAGTTGGTCGAGTGTCCAACTTCAGCTCAGGTCATGATGTCCCAGTTCATGAGTTCAAGCCCCATGTCTGTCCCTTTCTCTCTCTGCCCTTTCCCTGCTCACACACACACACACACACACACACACACACTCTCTCTCTCTCTCTCTCAAAAGGAAAATAAGCCTTAAAAAAATTCTATTTTCCCCTGCCCACAACCTCCAGCAACCCCATTCTGCTTCCTGTTTCTGTGACTTTGACTACTCTGGGTACCTCATTTAAGGGCAGTATTACAGTATTCGCCTTTTGTGACTGGCTCGTTTCACTCAGCATAATGTCCTCAAGGCTCATCAGTATTGCAGCATGTGGCAGAATTCCCTTCCTTTTTAAGGCTGAATACTATTCCATCGTAGGGACGGACCACATTTTTCTTGCCCATTCCTTCACGGATGGATGCTTGCGTGCCTTTTTGAAAACAAAGACGCTCTGGATCCTAAAACCCCATCTGCCCCCAGAGGTGTGAGGGTAAGAGGCTGTGGGTGGCAGCCTCATCAGAGCTTCTGCTCACTAGAGAAGCACTGTAGCTTGGTGGCTGAGAGTTTAGACACGCGTCAAATCCAGCCTCCCCCAGTTACCAGCTCTAGGACCTTGGGCAAGTTCATCTTCTCTGCCCAAGAGAGAAGTGAGTGAAAAGAGAACTATAGTGAGTATCTCCTTCCTGTTCGAGGATTGACTTATACGTGTTAAGTTGCAGACACAGTGCCTGGATGGAGGGAAAAATAATGTTTCCCTGTAAACCTCAGAGAGGCCCCCTCACGAATCCCCTTCTGCAGGATTGGCTTATGAGGCTTGAAAGTTGCCCCGGGGTCGCCCAGCTCGCCAGGGGCGTGGCCATAGCGGTCCTGGTTCCCCAGAGACGCTGCTGGAAGGCTTCACCGTGAGAAGGAAGACCGCCCCAGACAGCCTTGGGTCTCCAGGGTAGGAGGTCACTGTGTGACCTTCAGTTGCAACTGTGTGCTGTGTGCTGGGGCCTTACTCTGTGACAAGCACACTGCTAAGCACTTTTATCGGGCTTATTTTGTCCCTGCACCCTGATAAGTCACAAGACTCATTGGCACAGTAACTACCTTTGTGGTCACCGTGAGACGTGAGTCAAGACATGCACAGGCACGTAGGTTATGTCTGGCACAAGATAAAGAACACTGAGTAGAAGTGGAAATAGCCATTTCACTGGGGGAGAGGAACTGAGGCACGGGGGTTTGAATGTCTTGCCTGGAGTCTCCCTGCTCAAAAAATGGCGGGAAGGGGATTCCTGCCGGCTCTGTGGACTGGGGACCCTCGTGAAGGAGTGTGTGTACCTGCCCCACTAACTTCTGCAGCTGTCGGGGGATCCGTTTGTGGGCAGGCCCTGCAAGTCCTGAGATGCAGGTAGAGAAACGTCGGGCCTGACCGTCCCACTCCTTCCCAGTGTGGGCCAGAAGCAGCTCCTGTGTCTGGCACGTGCCCTTCTCCGGAAAACCCAGATCCTCATCCTGGACGAGGCCACAGCCGCCGTGGACCCGGGGACGGAGCTCCAGATGCAGGCCGCCCTCAGGAGCTCGTTTGCCCAGTGCACAGTGCTGGTCATTGCCCACCGCCTGCGCTCTGTGATGGACTGCGCCAGGTAAGCACCCCTCCCCGAGTAGGCCCTCTCCCCGCTCCGCCCCCACGGGCGTAGAGGAAGGCATCAGGGTTTAGAGCCGCACGGGCGCTGGAATGGGTTATCACGTGCGCACTGTACAGGTGGCAAAACTGATGCCCAGCAGGGAGGAGATGAGCCCAAGAACACGTGCCCAGAAGACGTTTCCAACCTAGCTGTCAGGGTCAGGAAACCGCAGGGAAGGCCGGACTTTGCCAGAGCAGACATGCTGGGCTTTCACTGGTGCAAGCGCTCGGGCGGATTGGGCCGGTAAGGGCTCCCCATTGCCCTCTCTCCTGCAGGGTGCTGGTCATGGACAAGGGGCAGGTGGCAGAGAGTGGCAGCCCGGTCCAGCTGCTGGCCCAGAAGGGCCTGTTTCACAGGCTGGCACAGGAGTCAGGCCTAGTCTGAGCCCTCTGCCCTCGCCTTGCCAACCCGGAGAGACTGCTGTGCCTTGGAGGTACAGGTGACCCAGGGGTCATCAGCGGCACCCCAGTATTGGATCTAGACCCCTCTGATCTCTGGGAGGAAAATGGCAGAGAAAACGGCCGATCATCACAAACCCAGGAGGACACGGCAACACCCAGGTTGGCCTGATGAGGGCTCATCCCGCCGCATCCACCCTGGACGGGCTCCCTGTGCCGCCCGCCCGTTGGCCTCACCTGAGGACCTTAGAAACCTGCACATGTCTGGGCTCCACCGCAGACCAAAGAAATCAGCATCTCTGGGGCTGGGGGGCCGGGACCGTGGTGTGTGTGTGCCTTTTACAAACCACCCCCTTAATTCTGAGATGGTTGTCGAGTGACGAGCCACGACAAGAATCCAGAAAGTTCCTGCGTAGCTTTACTCTGTTTCCCCCACTAGTAACATCTTGAAAAACGATAGTATAATATCATAACCAGGATGTTGATAGTGGTACAATCGGCCAATCTTGTTCAGATTTCCCGCTTTTACGTGGATGTGTGTGTGTGTGTGTGTGTGTGTGTGCGCACGTGCATTTCTACGGAGGCTCCTGCACCTACCCCCACCAGACGGGATGCTGAACGTTTCCATTACCACAGGAACCCCTCTGCTTGCTTTCGTAACCATACCCACCTCCCTCCGCCCACAACTGCTGACGCGTTCTCCATTTTGGTACCTATTTTTATTTTATTTATCTTGAGAGAGAGAGCACGAGCAGGGGAGGGACAGGAGAGGGAGAGAGAGAGAATCCCAAGCAGGCCCCACGCTGCCAGCGCAGAGCCCGACGCGGGGCTCAAACTCCTGAACCACAAGATCGTGATCTGAGCCAAAACCAAGAGTCAGACGCTTAACCGGCTGAGCCACTCAGGCGCCCCTTGGGACATATTTTCAAAGCTTCCGGAGTATTCCACACCTCTTGGTGCCCCCCTACCCTCGGAGATGAGCCCATAGGAGTGTCTTATCTGAACTGTCGCACCAGCCACACAACCCACACCAAGAGCAGACCGTCCCGGGAATGAGCACGTGCACACTTTCAACTCCATAAATAGGGTTCACGGAGCCAGCCCCCCCAGACTCCCACTGAGAGAATCTCCTCACCGCACACTTCCTCCGTTTGTTGAAGACCAAATTCCAGCTCCCCAGGGGAGTCCCAATGGTGGTTGGGACATCCAGAGCAGCCAGAGGCCTGGATAGGGATGGCTCAGGGCTCGCTTTCGTGAGGGGGAGTCACCACACGCTGTGCTGCTCGGGCCGGTTTCCCACGGCACTCGGAAATCGGATACAGGGCTCCTAAAACTGGCTTCAGGCACCAGGCAAGGGGGACAAGAGTCTAAAATAGGCCAGCCTGAGGCCACACAGGCATATAGCTGTGAAGGGCAGCCTGAGAAAGGAATCAAGTCCCTGGACCAGAACTTGAGGCCAGCCCCACGGTTCTTTAGTGACCTCACGGCATGGCTGCAGAGGTGAGCTGGGCACCAAATGCACGCCCAATCGATGTTCACTATAGTCAGCAATCCTGTTCTATCTGAGGACCTCCGTGGGTCCTCCAGGGGGTAAAGGCTTTACACACCAGGATCTTTTTAACCACATCACTCTTTAAAAAATGTTTATTTTGAGAGAGAGAGAGAGAGAGAGAGAGAGAGAGTGCTGGGGAGGGGCAGAGGGGGAGAGAGAATCTTAAGCGAGGTGCAGGCTCAGCGTGGAGTCCAATGTGGCTCTCCATCCCATGACCCTGAGATCATGACCTGAGCCGAAATTAAGAGTCAGGTGCCAGGCGCCCTTTAACTGCATCACTGTTAACAGGTGGGCTGATAATTCTGGGTTGGGAGGGACGTTCAGCAGCAGCCCTGGCCTCTTTACTAGAGGCCAATAGCACTGTCACCTCCAGTTGTGCAAAAATGTCTCTAGATGCTGCCACTGTCCCCCAGGGGATCAATCACCTGGTGAGAGGCACTGGGCCTACCCGACCCGTGGTTAATCCGCTGAGACGTGGACAATGGCTGTGCTGGTATATCAAGAGGGGCCTGTGGACACCCACCTGCTTGCTGGGACCCGGAGCCCGCCCTGTCCCAGCCCAGTCACGGGGACTTTCAGCTGGTCCATTCAACATAGGGTTTTCAGCCCAGAGTAAACCAAATCTAGATCTAATCTAGATCTAGTGCCTACCTCCCTTTGCCAAGGGGCGGCCAGAAGCTCCTGCTGTCGCCTTGCAAGCAGAGTGGGAGGTCTGCACCCCTCGCCTGCCCCTGGTCATGCCTACAAGGGGCCGGCCCCACCATCACTAGCACCTCCCAGCTCGTTTTATAAACGAGGAAACTGAGGCTCAGTGAGTTCACATGACCTGCCAATGTCGCCCAGCTTGTAAGTGGCCGAGTGGGGGCTCTGCTCCTGGGTCTATTTACCACCACAGCCCAGGACGTGGCGTGGGGGGGCGTCTGCCCAACTTTGAAGCAGAGGAAGGGACCAGACACAGCACTTTCCATTTCTCTACTTGGAACGGAGCCCCCTGATGTCCGGGCAGAGCGACCGCAGGCCAAAGAGGCGGCCGCTGTGTGTTTGGCAAACCCACTGGGGGTCATTCGAAGGCTTCTTTCATGGAGGGAGGTGGTTGGCCAGCAGGCGGAGCATGCTCCCGGGGAGCCAGCGCTAATGAGGCTGTTGTTGGGCCCACACCACGGCTTCCTGGAGACTGGCCTGCAGGGGCCACCCAGGCCATCCGTCCCCCTGCCACAGGCTCGGGGGGTGGGGTGGGGACACAGATGCAGGAAAAGCCATGTACAGACCTTCTGTGGTCAGTGCCGGTCTCAGTAGGTCTCTTACCTTCACCTGTGTCCCCTCCCGTCACTGCAAATGCTTACCAAGCCCTACCCCAATGCCTGCCACAGCCTTCTAGGGAACCCTTACAACAGGAGGAGGAAGGTCCCATCATTATCCCCTTACTAGGATGCTTTGAGGAGGCCCCTTTTACACATAGCATAAGGAGGGATAGCATAAGGAGGGATCCGAACCCAGGTGGCCGGGCTCCAGAGCTCATGTCCTATCCACTGTACCACACTGCCTCTCGCACACTTCGTTAGCTCTAAAACACCAGCTCGCTGCTAGTTGAATTCCACTCTGGTATCCCACCAGAAGCGAAGGAAAGGGCTCCTTTCCTTTCCTTTTTTTTTTTTTTTTCTCTTGGTTTATTTATTTTGAGAGAGAGAGAAAGAGAGAGAGCGAGTGCACAAGTGGGGCAGGGGCAGAGAGGGAGAGAGAACTCCAAGCAGACTCCACGCAGTCAGCACAGAGCCCAACTCAGGGCTCGAACTCATGAGCTGTGAGATCATGACCTGAGCTGAGATCAAGAGTCGGATGCTGAACCAACTGAGCCCCCCAGGTGCCCCAGGGCCCCCCTTTCCTTCTCGAGGCAAGGGATTTGTTCATGTGTCTTCACTGTGTCTCCCAGCACCTGGCATGGTGTGCAGCAAACGAGAGTGCTCAGTGACAACTGCGTGACTGGATGGATGGATGGACGGACGGATGGATGGACGGGCGGATGGATGGACGGGCGGATGGACAAAGCAATGAATCCTACATCATCATGTAGGACGGTGTCCTGAGGGCCGGCTGTGGTGCTGGGTGCTTTACCTGGATCTTTTTCCATCCCCACACCCACCTGGCCTGGTGGACATAATGATCCCAGCTGTACCAAGGAAGAAACCACGGGTGCCAAAAGGCAAGTTCTCGAGTCCCCGATGACTTCGCACTTGGCTCAGGGCCCGGCACAGAGGGCTTGTCCTGGATCAGAGAACCCAGTCACTTGGATACATGCTACATGCCCTTGGTGGGCCATTCATCAAGGAATAAACAGATCAACCCCCTGCTCTCACAGAGCAGCCACTGTACCACCACCAGGGGAGGGACCAGCAAGAGGCAAGACCCTCTTGGTCTTGCATCCTTGGGCCTGCATCCTGCACCCTGGAACACCAGCAGAGTGTGACTTGTGGCTGGAGAGGCCAGTGAGGTGGCCAGAAGGGAGCTGCGGGCAGAGGTCATGGGAAGCCAGATTACGTGGGGTGTCTGGGTGCCAAGATGGGGACTGCAGGAGGGTTGTGATGTGATTTTTTTACAGACTTACTGCAGGGAGGGGGCGGCCAGGGCAAAAGCAGGGAAACCACTGAGGTGGTGGCTGTCACAGGAACACGAGAGAGAGACCAGCGTGGCAGGAATGGGAGGGAAGAGAAGTGGTCTGATTGGGAGTGTTTTTCTGGAATGAGCTGCAGGACCCGCACGGGGGTGTGAGAATGAACGGCGGACAAGAGCTCAACACTGGGAGGCACCATGTCCACTGCCCGCTCCCCTCTGGCCCAGGGGTCCCTTCCCGTGTGAGCAACGCTCCGCACTGAGCCCAGGGCCTGGCACACGGCAGGTGCCGTCTCCCTTGTTAGGAAAGCGCTCACCCGGACCATACCTGGACGAGCAGGCGCCCCTGCCCCAACCTTGGCGCTTCTGGCTTCCACCTTCTTCAGGGTTAATGCGGCTTGCGGCCTTCTCTTCGTAAAGCAGAAGGAGCTCTGACTCAGGCCTGGGACCCTCTGGAGTCCCAGTTGTCTCACAAAGCACACCCGTAGGCACACGCTCAGATACCTGTTTAACAGACCCGGCTTGGGGTTTTAGTGATTCAGGGTCAGGCTCCACAGAGACAGGAGACAGGAGCACACCTCCCTTCTCAGACCAACACCCCCCCACCCCTGCCCCGACCCGGCACGTATAAATACCTCCTTCCAATGGTAACACCCTGACGGGAGCCCTGTACTGAACACTCAGGCTTCAGTCCCTAAACGCAACGACGTGCGAGGCAAAGGTGTCAGTCCAGGGACAGCAATGTTGGAGGGAAGACCGGCAGGGTCGGGAAGCTCCCTCTGCACATTTACTTGGTGTGCGGTTTTAGGGTGCAGCAGACATGGCCT